CCGCCCAGGCGGTACGCCGTGCAACAAGCAACCTGAATAGCTTCAGTTATACCAGAAACATGGTGCAGATAAATACTCATAAACTTATGACCCAAGACTATGTACAGGACAGACATTACTGCCATCATTCCAACACACGGGTATATGACAGTCTCAAATATTCAAGTACTAAATGAATGCCGAGGGTTTCATGCTCAAGCTATGCATTTCTAATATACTCACCACAACAGTATTTCAGTATTATATGGATCATGATATCATAAATACTTTAATATTGTAAATTGGGATGTTCCTTAACTCTTTTTGTTGAGTATATATGTAACAGGTGTAATCATCAATATGTTTCACCTGTGTAAGTTACTACTTCAGATTTAGTATAAACAGCATTTCTGTGGGTTCTGTGTAAAATTATGTATTAGTAATATTTTTGTTAATTATTGTCCAAAGTGCTTATGTCTGTCAAATGATAAGTGTCGGGGACACAATACTTCATGCACCCGTGTATGCTGACCAGAACAAAGTGCCAGTACAAGCAACGAGGGCTGCCTAATGATGAAACTTGTTTCTAGTACTCGGCGATGTTCTCGCGAATTCCTGCAACACCCCACTACCCCGCCATCTGGAGTTATCCCGTGAAGGTCGTTAGCTTCAATCGATATCATCGATGCTTATGTTCCAATCACTGGTCTACCTGGTACAGACTTGAATATTTACTAACAACCGTTAAACAACACTGCTGCCAGGATGGGAACGCCACATTAACTTGGTGCGCCAAGTGGCTGCACGAGTTTTATGCTCTCCGGGGAGTTGAGATTGAAAATGCGATGTGCCGTTGAGATTGACATTGAATGGCCGAGGGAAAATATAGCGCTTTGAGCATGCATGTACATGGGATGGACTATAGCGTTATATAAATACCCATATATTAATATTAATAATACTAATATGCTGTTGATATGCGTGTTTCCCCAGGTTTCAAAAAGGGTTTCGTTGCAAACGCTCTTTACCCTCTAATTCAGTGTAAGACTAAAAAAATCAATAATTAACCTTTGGAATAGAATAGAAAAAATAGAAAAGTCGGCCATCCGTCATGCAATCTACCATTTTGATAAACGTAATGGTGGAAACAGCCACACTTTTGTGCGTCCCACGGGATTAAAAATCTGGGTCCCTTTCACAATTCCTATGGAGTAGGATACAGTATTTTGCGTACGGTAAAGTTTCTCCGCTGCTGAAGTCGTTCACTTCGGCTGTCGGATCGATAAAGTCATAAATCATATTATTGTGAGAGGGTCAAACATTCTGCCAACATCGATACCCACGATAGGGTCATAACGATGGGATAACGTGCTAGGGAGAGTAGAGACACTGGGTATATGACTTTCTTTATCACCCACGTGGAGAGATATCAAACACAGTTTGTAGGCTACAAGGGGTTTTATTGTGTTTGGAAAACATGGGGTGTTTACCAACACACTCACAAGTAAGACTAACTTTGTACTGCTTTGTATGGTGGCTCATCGTCGGTCCAATTCTGTAAGGCCTCAGATTGACTGAAGAAGTAAGTGAATGGGTGGCTGAGTCGTTGAGGGGTTGAGTGAGTGGTTGAATGGGTGGTTGAGTGATTGAGTGAGTGGTTGTGTGGCTGAGTGGATAGTTGAGTGGGTGGTTGAGTGAGTGGTTGAATGGGTGGTTGAGTGATTGAGTGAGTGGTTGTGTGGCTGAGTGGATAGTTGAGTGGGTGGTTGAGTGAGTGGTTGTGTGGCTGAGTGGGTGGTTGAGTGAGTGGTTGAATGGGTGGTTGAGTGAATGAGTGAGTGGTTGTGTGGCTGAGTGGATAGTTGAGTGGGTGGTTGAGTGAGTGGTTGTGTTGCTGAGTGGATAGTTGAGTGGGTGGTTGAGTGAGTGGTTGAATGGGTGGTTGAGTGATTGAGTGAGTGGTTGTGTGGCTGAGTGGATAGTTGAGTGGGTGGTTGAGTGGGTGGTTGAGTGATTGATTGAGTGGTTGTGTGGCTGAGTGGATAGTTGAGTGGGTGGTTGAGTGAGTGGTTGAATGGGTGGTTGAGTGAGTGGTTGAATGGGTGGCTGAGTCGTTGAGGGGTTGAGTGCGTGGTCGAATGGGTGGTTGAGTGATTGATTGAGTGGTTGTGTGGCTGAGTGAATAGTTGAGTGGGTGGTTGAGTGAGTGGTTGAATGGGTGGTTGAGTGGGTGGTTGAGTGGGTGATTGAGTGAGTGACTGACTGAGTGAGTGACTGAGCGAGTGGTTGAGTGAGTAGTTGAGAGTGAGTGTTTGACTGAGTTTATGTGCAGGCGAACAGTATTTCAGTTATATCACGGTGTCTGAGCTTGAGAAGGTATACCCCGTTTGATGACAGACGTTCATGTGTACCACTTTGACGATCCCCACGAACCAAGGGCCTGTTTCACAAAGCGATCGTAGCGCTACGACTGTCGTAAGTCTTTGTGAAAGTGTGGGAGTTACGATCATCGTAGTGCTACGACTGTCGTAAGTCTATGTTAAAGTGTGGGAGTTACGATCATCGTAGGGCTACGACTGTCGTAAGTCTATGTTAAAGTGTGGGAGTTACGATCATCCTAACGCTACGACTGTCGTAAGTCTATGTTAAAGTGTGGGAGTTACGATCACCTTAACGCTACGACTGTCGTAAGTCTATGTTAAAGTGTGGGAGTTACGATCATCTTAGCGCTACGACTGTCGTGTCTATGTTAAAGTGGTGGAGTTACGATCATCTTAACGCTACGACTGTCGTAAGTCTATGTTTAAGTGTGGGAGTTACGATCATCTTAACGCTACGACTGTCGTAAGTCTATGTTAAAGTGTGGGAGTTACGATCATCTTAACGCTACGACTGTCGTATGTCTATGTTAAAGTGTGGGAGTTACGATCATCTTAGCGCTACGACTGTCGTGTGTATGTTAAAGTGTGGGAGTTACGATCATCTTAACGCTACGACTGTCGTAAGTCTATGTTAAAGTGTGGGAGTTACGATCATCTTAACACTACGACTGTCGTAAGTCTATGTTAAAGTATGGGAGTTACGATCAACATAGCGCTACGACCGCTTTGTGGAACGGGGCCCAGGTTATGATTCTGACAAGCGTAGGAACATATCAAGCCGAATGTGGTATTTACACCGTCCATCATAGGATCGTGGAAGACCAAAGAGAAACAGCTCTGCAAAACGCATCGTGACGTCTCGGGCGACGGTACTACGATTAATAGATTTCCTCCAGGGGATGTAGGCACAGATAAGGAGAGATAGAGTGTCAGGTACGCTGCAATGGTTTGACAATGCAATTAAAACGAGAAGATATCAGGGTTGATCAAGTAAGACTTCAAGACATTGGACATTTTGTAGCGCATGAACCACCATTTGTAGCGCATGAACCACCATTTGTAGCGCATGAACCACCATTTGTAGCGCATGAACCACCATTTGTAGCGCATGAACCACCATTGTAGCACGGTAGGTGGAGATCAATCGGCAGAAATCAACATCAGCACAAACAAAACGGGCGCGACTATTGGATATAGAAAAAACGAGTATTGTATTCTGTATAAATCACATCAATCGATAATTCCAGCACCTACTACCTCCACGTTGAATTCAGTGAAGTCGACATGTTGGTTTACATCAACGTTGGTTTGATAAATGTGTACTGATAACGTTCACTCTGCTATAAAGGCGTTTTACTATATATGGTGAATTAATTGAAAGATGTATTGAAAACATATCACGTGACTGATTGACCTGCTGTGTTATAATATCGATTATGTCTCCGATGTCTTATAATCGGGTGTTATACGTGATTGACATATGGAACTCTCCCCGCCGACACTGTACTTGTAGACAAACAGCTACACTGCTGTAGTTGATTTAGCACGCCTACCATGTACCTACTATTTTTATGAAGGCAATTTTGAGCATGAAAAAATAAGGGGATAGCATATATTTACTTGGGTGTATGTTTCTACAGTCGGCATTTCTCCAGCTGTATTGTGGCGTCCGGTACACAATCTTACCTGGGCCACACAATCTAATGATTGATATTCCGAGCATGTCCCTTGACGTCGAATGTCGATGTTACGTAAATCATTTAAGTCTCAGGATTTGTACCTTACTCGTGAAGATCCGGGTTAGAATTGGTCTTCAGCAACCAATGCTTGAGGCGTCTAACGGGGTTGACACATGCAGGCGCGTAGCAGGCCATTTTTTTCGTGTAAGCCCGATAGGTTGCAAAGCTTTATATTTAGACAGTATTGAGGACTTGCCCAGCATTCATAGCAAAAATCATTTCTAAGCCTGTTTTTTTAATAATGGTAGCCACGCCTCTGACATGTTATGATGTTGATCACTGGATTGTATGGTCCGGACTTGATTATTTACAGATTATATATAGCTGGAATATTGCTGCGTGCAAACAAACTAAGAGAGCTTGAACCTCTATCCATTACGTCGCCTCATTGACCTGCATTGGACGCTGGCCATGGTGACCTGTCCTGACCCGGAATTCACATGGGCCACGACGCCTGTTACTTGTACCACGATGAGAAGAAAATGCCCCTTTAACAGATTCCATGCATCCTTTAGTAGAGAGTTAACGGTACAGATATAACGGATCTCAGAACCAGAATGTCCCAGCCGTAGGACATGTAGTGTTGACAGTGCCTATAGATTAATTCCCCGTCAAGAGTAGCTCAACTCAAAGTTACACTTTATTCCCAAACAGCGACAAACGATATACCGTTCTGTTTGTTTGCGAGATAAAACTCCCTAGGTGGCGCTAATATATCTTCCTTCGATAAACGTTTACTTTAAACAGGCAAACACGTATCAAGCTCACTAATACATTATGCGGCAAATGTTTCACACCGTCAAATATTCCAGTCCGAGACAATCACCTATACAATCGAAATCTTACCTTGATATTACTACAACCAAACTCTGTTGCAAGAACTATAAAAAAATCGTCTCACCTGTCTGATATCAAAGTCGCCGACGTACAGGTAACAGCGTCTCTGACGCCGTGTTTCTGTCAACAGTCCCCGTTGTGTCCCACCTCACTGTACAGCTCAACCCGTTCGCGACGTTCCGGGGGTGAGAGTTGTCAGCCCAGTAATTCAATACCTAAACCCCCTCAGAAAGATCGACTGTTAAGAATGAAGCAGTTTATGTACATGGATCTGTAAAGAGAATTAAACTGGGCCTATGGAATCTAGATTACAGTGAACGGGTTTGGAGGTACGGTTTTGTAAAGGGACAGGTGAATGTTTTCTAACAGATCTTGTATGGGGTTTATAATACGGGGAGTTGGACAGCCAGGGTGGTTACCAATGGCCGTGATCGATGAAAGTGATAGCTGTATGGTTCGAGCTGGCGGGAGACTAATTTATATCGCCATGTAAGCAAACGCCGGCGTCATTGATTGACAGGGAAGTAATTACGTGGTGCTTCATGACACGGTGCTAATTTCACCCGGCGTAGTACTCTTTAATTTCAGTCTACAGGTTGTGACGTGTTGCCGTTGATGGTGATGTAAAGCGGACAAATAAAGGAGGGGTAGGTGGGGTGGGGGATGTGGAGCTTAGGGGAAGGTGGTAGAGTGGGGCGTGTGTTTGGACGGGGCGATGGGGGACGGAGTGGGGAGGTAGTCAGCCTATGGCCCTAAAGATTCCAGTGAAATAGGAGTATTCAGGTCGTGTGGGTGAGTGAGTGAATGAGTGAGTGAGTGACTTGGTGGGTGAGTGAGTGGGTGATTGGTCGGTGGGTGGGTGATTGATTGATTGATTGATTGAGTGGGCGAGTGGGTGAGTGAGTGAGTATAGTTTTACGCCACACTCAGCAATATTCCAGCTATTTGGCGGCGGTCTGTAAATAATCGAGTCTGGATCAAACAATCTAGTGATCAACAACATGAGCATCGATCTACGGAGTGAGGTTTACGCCGCTTTTAGCAATATTCCAGCAACATCACGGCGGGGGACACCAGAAATGGGCTTCACACATTGTTCCCATGTGGATAATCGAACCCGGCTCTTCAGCGTGACGAGCGGACACGTTAACCACTGGGCTTCCCCATCGCCCATAGGTCTTACAAACTAGGAATTACAGCTCTAGGAATTACAAACTGGTCTGGACTTCCTTTGGAGTGTTTGTATTACTTTTGGAAGATGCCAGGGTATACGTTTCGATAAATCTCCACTAGTACATGAAGTATTGGAGTTTTATCGGAACGTATATGTGCACTTGGGCAGTGTTGTTTTTCACGGTGGTGATGACCGCCAGGGGAGGTCTTGGAACGGGAGGGGCAAGAGGAAGAGGGGGTGTATTTCTTTGAGGTCAGAGGGGAAGGGTGGAGAGCAGATGTGTTGGGGGGGGAGGGAGGGGAGGGGCTGGGCTGTATTTGGACACGATTTCGTGGCAATGGGAACGGTCGGAGGGGCTGATTATCAGTGTGTTACTTCATATCACGGCCGGAAGTATGGTGATTGGCATGGGTGAAATCGATCCACGCCTAAACTACTAGGCCAAAACTGTTCACTCTGTTAATGTGTCATAAAGTATAATGATATGCAGGGCCATAATATGGAAGACACACAAAGAGGAGTTGCATCCCTTTCATGTGCCAGGATACGATGATCCCAGATCTACTCTAAAACATAAGCACCATGTCCTTGCTGATGGGCTACTCGTTGATTACTTGTAATGGTACTCGGGGCTACTCGTGGAATACTTGTGATGGTACTCGGGGCTACTCGTGGAATACTTGTGATGGTACTCGGGGCTACTCGTGGAATACTTGTGATGGTACTCGGGGCTACGGGTGGAATACTTGTGATGGTACTCGGGGCTACGGGTGGAATACTTGTGATGGTACTCGGGGCTACGGGTGGAATACTTGTGATGGTACTCGGGGCTACGGGTGGAATACTTGTGATGGTACTCGGGGCTACGGGTGGAATACTTGTGATGGTACTCGGGGCTACTCGTGGAATACTTGTGATGGTACTCGGGGCTACGGGTGGAATACTTGTGATGGTACTCGGGGCTACGGGTGGAATACTTGTGATGGTACTCGGGGCTACGGGTGGAATACTTGTGATGGTAATCGGGGCTACTCGTGGAATATTTGTGATGGTACTCGGGGCTACGGGTGGAATACTTGTGATGGTACTCGGGGCTACTCGTGGAATACTTGTGATGGTACTCGGGGCTACCCGTGGAATACTTGTGATGGTACTCGGGGCTACTCGTGGAATACTTGTGATGGTACTCGGGGCTACGGGTGGAATAATTGTGATGGTACTCGGGGCTACGGGTGGAATACTTGTGATGGTACTCGGGGCTACTCGTGGAATACTTGTGATGGTACTCGGGGCTACTCGTGGAATACTTGTGATGGTACTCGGGGCTACGGGTGGAATACTTGTGATGGTACTCGGGGCTACTCGTGGAATACTTGTGATGGTACTCGGGGCTACTCGTGGAATACTTGTGATGGTACTCGGGGCTACGGGTGGAATACTTGTGATGGTACTCGGGGCTACGGGTGGAATACTAGTGATGGTACTCGGGGCTACTCGTGGAATACTTGTGATGGTACTCGGGGCTACTCGTGGAATACTTGTGATGGTACTCGGGGCTACGGGTGGAATACTTGTGATGGTACTCGGGGCTACTCGTGGAATACTTGTGATGGTACTCGGGGCTACGGGTGGAATACTTGTGATGGTACTCGGGGCTACTCGTGGAATACTTGTGATGGTACTCGGGGCTACGGGTGGAATACTTGTGATGGTACTCGGGGCTACTCGTGGAATACTTGTGATGGTACTCGGGGCTACCCGTGGAATACTTGTGATGGTACTCGGGGCTACTCATGGAATACTTGTGATGGTACTCGGGGCTACCCGTGGAATACTTGTGATGGTACTCGGGGCTACTCATGGAATACTTGTGATGGTACTCGGGGCTACTCATGGAATACTTGTGATGGTACTCGGGGCTACCCGTGGAATACTTGTGATGGTACTCGGGGCTACCCGTGGAATACTTGTGATGGTACTCGGGGCTACCCGTGGAATACTTGTGATGGTACTCAGGGCTACTCGTGGGCTTCTCGTGGGTTGCTGGCACTTGTAACGTGTTTTTCTCTAGGTCTCTCTTTGGCTACTCGTCGGAAACACGCGGACTACTCGTGTCTTACTCAAGGGCTATTCTTGGGCTAATCGCGTGTTACTCTTGTGTTAGTAAGCTCAAACTAGTTTTAATTAATTGTGATAATGTAGTTGTTATCCTGTCTTTCGCTGGCATCTTCTTAGAAAATATAAATTTACATGTTCTCAGTATATGACGTTTTTGTCGTCACGATATGGCTGAAATATTGCCGGTGTGACGTAAACTCTTTAACTCACTCACTCACTCACTGGCGCTTTGCATCAAAACGGTAAACGTCTGAGGCCTGCCCTACATCTGTCTTTCCTTCTATGATAACAGAGTTTTGATGTAAGTGACATACTGTCCACATTGGCATTATACCCTCCTTAGACACACCTCCATGTATATATTATAAACACGTGGCTGATCTTGTTTCTAATCTCGCTGGGGAGTTGGGGTAACCTAGTGGTTAAAGCGTTGGCTCGTCACGCCGAAGATCCGGGTTCGAATTCCCACATGGGTACAATGTGAGAAGCCAATTTGTGGTGCCCCCCGCCGTGGTGTTGCTGGAATATTGCTAAAAGCGGCGTAAAACCAAACTCAGTCAGTCAGTCTAATCTCGCTACCCGACCATTTAGCCAAAAGAATGCATGAGTGAGCATGTATACCGTTTGTCAACATTCTACCATCTTTGCAGCGACGAGAAGGGTGTCTAAAACACGTCAACAAAGGTCAGGAAGCCAATCATATCATATCACAAATATCATATTGTTACACCCCGCAGACTGTTACACAACAACTGTCCCTGAAAGTCCGTGTGTGTCTTCAGCGACCAGTGGTTGGCACGGGATGTGAGGCCTCCTGATTAATACAAGACGTCGTGTCCCAGTTGGGCAGGTATTGTCAGGAACCGGTATCACAGCCAGACTGTTGCTGAGTGCGGCATAAAACAACATCACTCATTAAGCCTCACCTGACGAAGGTCACAGATACAGTCCGTTTGAGTCAGAAACGGACCGATGTTAGAGAAGCACGTGCACAAGTGCCCACCAAGTTATTTATTCATTAGCTTGTGCTGGGCCGTCTCCATCCTTTCTCGCACACCTGGCTGTCCCTTTCTCTGGACTCCTCCCTCGTAACAAATAGTGAACTGTGTCAAAATTTTAATGATAGTTTGTTAAAGAACTTTTTTGGTGGAGTCCGGAAAATTTTCAAATATCAGAAAGCTGTTGGGTATTAGTACATGATAAACATGTGTACTATCTATATATTTAAGTGGCAATTTTGTACAATGATAAAATTTGCAATTCATCGGTCCGTTTCTGACTCAAACGGACTGTAAATGAGTGGAGAACTAGGATTTTATGTGTGATTCATACAATGTTGAGCAACTGATGGTTTCGAGTTGCGTGCTGCTGACAATCTGCACAGCTGGTTAAGCTCGTTTAAACTTCAAAGGCAGAAGTTACTGTGACACACAAACAACAAACTGAACCAGTGTTAATTTTTTACTGCCGCGAATGAAATGTTATTACATGGGAAGTCCAGTGTGTGGTTGGTTTGTTGTTTTACGCCGCACTCAGCAATATTTCAGGTACATGGCGAGAATGGACCAGACAATCCAGTGATCAACATCATGAGGATCGATCTACACAATTGGGATACGATGCCGTTAGTTGCCTCTTACGACAAGCATTTTTTGTTCTATTTGCGGATGCTGCTGTACAACTTCAGCAATGTGTAATCTTGCCGTGTCGTATTGAAACGTCACTCCAGGGATGTTCTGTTGCAAAACACGGTTAAGCCGCCATTTGCAAAATCTCTTCTAGGTACTTCACAACATTCAAGTTCCCCGCAGTCACAGTGATTGGCGTCCTTGCTGCAGCTGTTATCCCATCCCCAGATCATAACAACCCAACCTCCAAAACTGCCCTCTCCCAAACACGTTTGGCAAGACGCAGTCCCATGACCGATGTTGAAGAACTGCACCGGAAAGGAGAGTGGGAGTCCTCCCCTACCATCAAATGGAATCTGTGTGGTTGTTGTCTGAGGGAGACGCCCCTCCCTCACAGACAGGTACAAGGAATGTGGTGCAGGCTTGGAAAAACCGAGAAGTGAGAACATGGCGTCGGGTTCCCTGGTCTCATGAAAGCCGCTATCATCTACACGTTACTGATGGCCGTTATGTTGATAACGAGGCTTGTCACCAGAGGATGATCGATTGAATTCCGTACCTGGTGGCTATAGTCCGTCAACTTAACTTTTGGCACCCTGTTTTTCACAATTTATATAAAACTCCTGAATATTTTAAAACACTAATCTGTTCATATGGTACTTGTATACCGTGACCTAACAAGATATCGATTTTAGTAAATTTAAAACGATTATTAAAGATTTTGCCTTTAAACCTGTCATATAATAATGGTAAAACTGTGGAGAGTTTTACGAGGGGTTAACGCACCTGATGGAAAAGCCAACAACACTGTAAAATGTGTGTCAGCGTGATAGGTACATGCACGGGTATTTACATTAGCACGCTTAACTGATGTCAAAGATCGTCAACACGCACAGGTTTTAGGGAAAACGAGGTTGCACAAAGATGACCGGCAAATCATCAAAAGAGTTTACAACTTTTTCAAGCGCGAGGCAAAGCGACAAAAAATTCAATTTTGTTTCAATTGAATCTTTCTCCAAAAGACACTTAATGCCACGAAGATCTGCAAAAGAATATTGCAAAGAGTTATCTCCCATAACACTATTTCAGAGCCTGACGATGACATGGCAGTTAAATCGGGGACCGTCTCAAAAGCTGCAAAGAAAACAAAGCTTGATGAATTCGATAGACGGGTTGTGAGGGACATCATGCGCCGGTTACATCCATCCATATCTTCAAGCAAACTGAAGAAAATATTGTTCGAGAGAGACCATGACTTCAATGTATCAAAGCATACCATATACAAGCTGTTGCTCAAATTTGGATATAGATACAAGAGACCAAGCAACCAGTCTTTAAAGACTTCAATGAATCTACTTGTTTAAAATGGATTTATGATGATTATAGAGTCCCTGTTGATTTGCTTGCAGGCGTAACAATGTAAACAATATGCACGCGTGTCACACCATGTTGTTGGCTGTTCCATCGTATCATTTTACTCCCTTGTATAACTACTTCTATTTTTCATATTTTTATAAGATAGCTTCTTAAGACGAAGCTTTAATACTTGACATAAGATTATGAAATTTAAACCTTGGATAGGTCATAAGATATAAAGAGCGTATGCACAAAAACATTTTGAAGGCATTTTTGGTTAAAAGTTTTTTTGTGAAAAACAGGGTGCCAAAAGTTCAGTTGACGGACTATAAGTGATGGTGTGTAGTTCTCATCACAGCATCTGGACGGACGTACATTGCTATAACCGCCCCATTCCTTGTCGTCCGATATTTAAGGATGACAACGCTACACCTCAACGTTCTCTAGCCGTCATCGACACATGTTCAGAGTCTGCAGAGAAATGGCACTGAGATATGGCTGAGAATTCAACGCTTGATTGCCAGTATAGATACTGAGGAGGCAGGCAGGGTGGCTACTCCAGATACTGACGATGTCTCCTGTGGTGGTTCATACAGTTCCAACAACCATCCTTTGTCAACTGTGTGACAATCAGCATGTTGGCGTGAATACTGTGGCCACACTTTCCGCCATTGTTGATACTCCTCTCATCAGAGTGCAAGTAAATTGTTACCAAATTCGGTATTATTATATTTTTCTAATCAGAGTAATATATGTATTAGTTTCCATTTGGGAACATGGGGTTTCAAAACATATACAACAAACTGTAGTGTTATCAAGTGGTTATGTGAATTAATAACCCTGTGTATACTGCCCCATAAACCCCCCCACATGCACCATAGACCATCACGTTTGGTGTGAATGAACCTTGAACACTAATTATACACCGGATCTGTGCAGTGTTTACATTCAGTGGAGTTTGATCTAAATAAATAAACTATATAATGAACTGGGATCAATGTGGGATCGACTTGGCAAGGATATAGCTTATTGTCGATATAACAAGGCCTCGTTGTCACTCAGTCTGCAAAAGGATTAATTGTCCATATTCATCATTAGACCATCGGATGTACCTGGCTCAGGTGTCAGCAGAGGGCTCACGGTGCACTGGCCTTTAATCGAAATGTGAAAACCGAAGAAACTTTGTTGGACAATAAAACTTTATTGGAGTGTGAAGTCTGTTCTAGATATTAAATTTTAAATACGAAACGGAAGGAACTCAGACACCGTTTGGTTTGGTGGATGTTTGTTATAGGGGATGAAGTTTATTCAAAGCATCAACAACGGATTTCAGTGTCACCACCAGGGGGCCAGCTGAGATTAACGGGGAGAAGCGACAAAACTCTTTCCACATCCATTAGAAATATCTGCTAACAATCGATTGTACAATTCTGACTATATAATGAGTAGGTATTTGTTTCAGCAGCATTACATCTGAAACATGTTGTTTGAAAACAATCGAGTCTGGACCAGACAATCCAGTGATTGTCACCATGCGATACGATGACAGAGCATGTGTTTATGAATCACTATGAAACAGTGATGATACCAGGTGTTCGCGAAAAGGTGAACGTATATCCTGCCACCAAAATGGATATGTGCCCAAATGACAAGCCTGGCTTGTGTCCCCCCAAATAACAAGCCTTGCTTGTATCCCCCAAATGACAAGCCTGGTTTGTTTCCGCCAAATGACATCCAGTAAATGAGCTTCACAGATCACACATTCGCTGATAATGTGATGCATAATGCCTACCCGACAAACCGGCGGATACGCCATCCTTCGAAATAGAGCCTAGTGCGCATTCTCTGCGCTGCGGGTAAAAGTCCACAGATCGACACAAGAAGACACTTTCGTCGAGGCATGCCTGAAGGCACTGATCCAACGTGACACGTGTTATCCTTCGTATGATACTTTCACCTATGTAGGATGAGGTTAAACGCTTGAACTGAGAAGAACAACCCTGCCCTGTAAACATGCAATGGTACCTATAAGTCATGGGAAATACACAACAAGAGGGTTAAATATGTGACATTGCTGGAATACTGCGTGAAAGCGGCTTCCAAGTGATTAAATCATATACACGAAGGGAAAAGAAATCTGTTCTTGTCTCTGTTCTAATTTTGATCTGGATTTCATTCTCAATCATATATATTTATATTCCGACAAGGAATTTATATTAGACGGGTGTTGGATACAATCTATAACATGAATAGTTTTCATATCTCGAACATACATTCGTGCATAGTTGCGTGCAGGCAGTCTCCTTTCATCTCATTCTTAAATCTTTCACAACGTAACCTGCATCACCAACAAGTTGAGGGCGGTGGGGTAGCCTAGTGGTTAAAGCGTCCCCTTGTCACGCCGAAGACCCGGGTTCGATTCCCCACATGGGTACAATATGTGAAACCCATTTCTGGTGTCCCCCGCCGTGATATTGCTGCAATATTGCTAAAAGAGGCGTAAACTACACTCACTCACTCACCAACATGTTGATTAATCCACGCATATTGAATACCAACTATAACAACTGACCGTTTATCTAGCAAGAGAAAATCTGTTCTGAGCTTCTACAAGACATAACGTAAAGATCTTTACCCGTATTTAAGCATCGGACTCCTCAATGAACAATAACCTGTTTGGTGATCAAATTAACAAAAACCACAATACAGCCCTGGGCATAAATTCGGTAATTACACATACTGAAAGGGAAAACAAGCACACCGAATTTATGTGAGCATAGATTAACAAATGGTACAATTTTTAAATTCTTTTTGGCTCCTAACAAAGAAAGAACCTGCATGTATTTCAAGAGTTAGTGAGTTACGATTTTAAGTCACATCGGCAGTATTTCCACCATATCCTTACAATAAAGTTATACATAATACATGAAGTTAATGTATTAAAACCTGTCAAGGAAGGACAGTAAATACAACTAGAATATCACAGATATAGATATAAAACTAGTGCCTAAATCTAAAACTTTGAAACTACTGAAGACAATACAATATTAAAACAGACTATAGATCGCCACCAACTGAAGGCAGTTCACCCTACTAGGGACCATGGGGACTTACAGTATTTTTGCTTCCTGCATGGACCCTAGCTGGATTTACACCATCATTTCAGATGTTGGCAATTTGTTAAAAAATCTATCCAATGGTATCGATGTCCAAAACATATTCCTAAAGATTTTGAAAACAATTCTGTTTCTACTAAAAAACAGTTATCAAATGACAATTGACATGGTAAAAAAGATCCTTTAGTGAAATATTGATCCCTTGTGATGGGAAAATCAATACAGCCAAGCTGGACATGCTTGACCGCAGGTACTTCAATACCACCTCGTGGAATGTGTGGACGTTGTGGACGACTATGGTTAACTTGAACGTCAATGACACCGGGCCCCTTCTTTTGATGACAAAATCACAGATTCTACTCTGCTCTCGCGGAATGTGTCCGATTGCAAGATTTTCCCACTCGATAGAAACCGCGTGTGAGTCATATGAATTTGAGAGGTCTGTTTCCGTATCAGGTACCTGACCTGTCTCTGGGTCCAGTGACTCATGTACACATGGACTCCTCTGATTGCACTATGAACGTGACCGCCTCCGTGGTGTAGTGGTTAGAGCGTCCGACCGGAGAGCGAAAGGTCGCGGGTTCGATCCCCGACCGCGTCATACCAAAAAACGTTAAAATATGGCATTTGTTGGTCCCTGCCTGGCGCTCGGCATTAATGGGTACAACAAGGACTGGTCGGCTCGGAGTCAGTATAATGTGTCTGAGTGGGGTATTCATGCTTCACTGCGGCATGGTATCTCACTGGGCTAGCACTATAAAACCAGCTTATACAAGGGGCCGCAAATACACATACACACGCATGTACGTCGTCATATGAGCGAAATATTCTCAAGCACGACGTTAAACCCAATTTCACCTCACCTCACTATGAACGTTGTAAATACCGACGTTCGCCATGTGCTTTTACAAAGGGACATCACCCCCAACAATGAAATTATGAATCTAAATTTAGGCCCTTGAACATCCCGGTATGGCAGACTTTTAGGGAAAGTTTTTTAACCGGGCAACATACTTAACTGTCCATTATGTTACCTGTTGTGGTCTGTACAGAAGTAGTGCCTTCTTCTCCCGTAGCTGTGGTCGGTACAGAGGTAGTGCCTTTTTTGCCTGTGACTCTGGTCGGTACAGAGGTAGTGCCTTTTTTGCCTGTGACTCTGGTCGGTACAGAGGCAGTACCTTCTTTGCCTGTGACTCTGGTCGGTACAGAGGTAGTGCCTGTTTTGCCTGTGACTCTGGTCGGTACAGACCTAGTGCCTTCTGTGCCTGTGACTCTGGTCGGAACAGAGGTAGTGCCTTCTTTGCCTGTGACTCTGGTCGGTACAGAGGTAGTTCCTTCTTCTCCCGTGACTCTGGTCGGTACAGAGGTAGTGCCTTCTTCTCCCGTGACTCTGGTCGGTACAGAGGTAGTGCCTTCTTCTCCCGTAGCTCTGGTCGGTACAGAGGTAGTACCGTCTTCTCCAGTGGCTGTGAATGGTACAGAGGTAGTTCCGTCTTCTCCCGTGGCTGCGGTCGGTACAGAGGTAGTTCCTTCTTCTCCTGAGACTTTGGTCGGTACAGAGGTAGTCCCTTCTTCTCCCGTGGCTGTTGATGGTACAGAGGGAAGAGGTGTTATATCCTTGGCTGTCAACATTGAAGACAAAGAACTGAATTAAACAAGATATTTTGACCAATTGACTAAGTTTAACCATACAGGGATACACAGGTATATACGTCCTAGGTTTAACACTAAAAAGATATCCATATCATTAAACTCTGCTTTTTCTATTCGGCATGCCGTTAACATATTCGCTTTTACTTCCACTGCTTTACTATCTAACTTTCATTGGTTGGTCCACACTATGTCACTTTTTCTGATTTTATCCTCTGACATCCATTGGTTATTCCACACTATATCTGCCTGACGTCTAGCCATTATACGTATAGTAGCAGTAGTCGGGCAGTATAAAAGGAACAGTTTATAAGTACGATTTCGCAGATAATACTTCACTACATATTGAGATTAAGTTTTACAGTTGAGAGACAAAACACACGCAAACAACCTCCTCATGGTTCGGATTATCTCCTTATCTCCGACAGTACCTATAATGCTGCACAGCAACAAGATAAAAGCCTCGAGAAAAGCCAGGATCTTGAGAAGGGTTTCAGCGAGTTTATTCTAAGATACCGATGAGGCTAGGATAATCTCTTTGTTTAAATCTACTTAAATGTGACTGGCTTACCTGACCTAAGGCACAGATACCCTTGGTGAGCAACAGGTGCACACGTCTCTGATGGTTGGCACGTGCACATCCGCCCAGACACCTGAAGAGAAAACTCTCATTAAATGACCTGTGTGATTTAACTTTTTAGTACAACACTAAGTACCACTTGTTTATTGGAAAGACGAGGTTGCAGAAACATCCTTCACAAATTCCCTTCTTTGTGTTTATCCTTATAAATCTTTGCAACAGATGTCATTGCCCAGTCAGTAAGATGTTTTAGGCACAGAATTGTGTTTTCGTGTTTGCTGTTTAACGATGAACTAACCAATATTCCAGTCTGGTCTGGATCAGACAATCCGATGATTGATGTCATGAAACTCGCAACGGGAATATGATGTCTTTCTGGTCAAGGAAATCCTATTACGAAAACTCATGAGTTGCTGACGATCAAGTGTATACTTATATTTTATTGTGAATTTTGATGTTCTGGAAAACCATTTTCAAGAGGATTTACAAAGATGTCTTGTATCAGATTGCCATATTCGTACTTACTTCCTCTGCAGACAGTTCAATGTAGACGGAGTCGTCATCAGGTCTCACGGCGGTAGGGAAGTCGGACTCCGTCACCCTGTTGAGGTCACACACAGCAGGATGTGCCTTCCAGCGCCAGTTCACAGAAACACAGTAGGGCGAGTACAAACACAACGTGTAGCACTGTACCCGTGCAGTCACAGTCCAGCTACTGACCACATGGTCAGGGACAATAGCCAGCCCAGGGACACTTCTAACCCCTTCCGTCAGCCCTATAGCTCCAGCCAACACAGATATGGCCAGTGTATAGGCGGTGTGAGTGACTATTGTTGTAGCCAGTGTTGAGGCGGTGTGGGCCACCATTGTTGTAGCCAGCGTCGATGCGGTGTGAGCCACCATTGTTGAAGCCGGCGTCGAGGCGGTGTGCTCCACCATTGTTGAAGTCGGTGTCGAGGCGGTGTATACCTTCACAACTGCAGCCAACAGAGTGGATGCCTAAACTTTCCTTCTCCCAAAGAGTCTGCATCTGGACCTACAGATCTGTACAGGACATTTTATATATTACCGATATATGTTAAATAATACATTTGAATGTATCAATGAACGATCGATTACATATAAACAGCGAACACGTGATCAATATTGACCTATTAAAATAATTAATTGGTTTGTAATCGGTTACAGGCGACCTCATCTTTGCATACATAATGTACAACAGGTTTATGTGTGACTCGCCATGTCTGGGATCATTTCAACAAGAACCCTGTGGATAGTTCGAACGTTCGATACCAGGCAGCTTTCTGAAATGCTAAAGCAATGGTAAGGGACAGTGGGTAGTCTGATGGTTACAATGGTTCGCTCGTCACACCGAAGTCTCGGTTTCGATTCCCAAAATGGTTACAATGTTTGAAACACACTTTAGGAGCTGTGATAGTGCTGGAATAATGCTATACGTAGAGTAAGACAAAATAGTGCTGCACTACAAACATATGCGGATTGCAAGAATCAGTTGGTCCAATTGGCTCTGTTTCTTGCAGATATGGCCATGAGCCAGAGCATATCATGGTTGAGTCACAGCCTCCGGGTTCTTCTAATGCGGAATAGGGCCCGTGGGGTAGCCTAGTTGTTTAGCGTCCACTCGTCACGCTGAAGACCCGGGTTCGATTCCCCACATCCAAGTGTAATAGAGGCGGTGCTGTGGCCTGGTTATTAAAGCGTTCGCCTGTCAAGTCGATGACACTGGTTCGATTCCCCATATGGGTACAATGTGTGAAGCCCATTCCTGGTGTCTCCCGCTGTGATTTTGGCGGAATATTGCTAAAAGCGGCGCAAAACTCAACTAACTCACTCTCTCGAATGCGGAATAAACTTTTGTATACCAGTCATAAAATAATATCCAGGTATTTTTTCTTCGTAAGTTGTTTCTCGTGCTCGGCACATTTCTTCCGAAAATATATCCATAGAATACTAATCATCAAAGGTTTGGGCAGTGGGGTAGCCTATAGTCTGTTTGCAGTCAAAACGTACCGATTAATTCCACTTTAAACAGAAAAATAAATCAAATAAAGTGAAATTAAGATTGCGAATCCTCATAATTTGACCTTGCCAATTAAACATATAAATTTCAGAATTTTATTCAACTTGTTTAACAGACGATCATAGATTCAAACCGCTATTATTGGTTTGTATTACAAGGGAGTAAACGCAGTAATTGGAACAGTGATACAAATGCACGTGCAGTACGTGATGAGAGTTAACTTAGACCAACCGTACTTCTTCTCGGTGTTTCATTTAATGTGCATACCACCTTGTAACACGAACCAACAATAGCAATTTGAAACTATGATCGTTTGTTCAACAACTTTTATCCAAGTTGAATAAAATTCTGAGATTTAAATGTTCAATTGGCAAGGTAAAATCATGAGGATTCGTACTTCTAATTTCACTTTATTTGATTTATGTTTTTGTTTAAAGTGAAATTCATCGGTACGTTTTCACTGCAAACAGACTAAAGCGGAGAATCGGTCTTCGGCGTCACGGACGAACGCTTTAACCACTAAGCCACATCAACGCCCCTGAACGTTACCAAGAACCCTACGTAAAGTTGACTTTCTTCTTAGTGTCCTATTTGTATGTGTATATAACGCAGCCAGCGAACAACAAAAGCAGAACAGTAATTAAGATACACCTAAACGTATCCTTCTAAAATCGAAGTCACTTCGATGTGAAATCGAGTCCAGATCGATAATTATTTCCTAATTAAGGCTGACACTACTGTCAATTAAAGCCCCCCTCATCGTTATTACATGTAGTCATGTATAATGTGTGCCAGCAGAGTCTGGCTCCTCCCACAGGCGGTGCCGGGACATGCTGGCTGGTCCAATGACAGGAGATTGAATTATATTAACACTTCACCTATTACATAATTTCTAAGACATACTAGTCACAAAACAAGTTCAATATTTTCTGTATTAAAAACACAAACATTATACATGCATCAGTAGATACACGTTACTGACGAATCTATGTTAGATAATATGTAATTGGTCGTTTATTAACACACCGAAACAGCCCAGATCAAATTCATTGTTAGCACATATTGGTAAAAGATAAAACGTTCTGTACAGTTTATATATCCAGATGCAGGCTGGTTGGAAGAAGGAGTTTATGTCTCCACTGTAGTAGGTGATGGTAGGTGGCGTACACCGCCTCTACAATTAAACAATCTGGCTCACACCGCATCGACGCTGGCTTCAACAATGGTGGCCCACACCGCCTCAACACTGGCTACAACAATAGTCACTTACACCGCCTATACACTGGCCATATCTGTGTTGGCTGGAGCTATAGGGCTGATGGAAGGGGTCAGAAGTGTCCCCGGTCTGGCTATTGTCCCTGACCATGTGGTCAGTAGCTGGACTGTGACTGCACGGGTACAGTGCTACACGTTGTGTTTGTACTCGCCCTACTGTGTTTCTGTGAACTGGCGTTGGAAGGCACACCCTGCTGTATGTGACCTCAACAAGGTGACGGAGTCCCACTTCCCTACCGCCGTGAGATCTGATGACGACTCCGTCTACATTGAACTGTCTGCAGAGGACGTAAGTGTGATTTTAACAATCTGATACAAGACAATTTCATAAATCCTCCTGATAAGGGGATTCCGGGCTATCCAAATTCACAATAAAATATAGTATACAATTGACCGTCAGCAACTCATGAGTTGCCGTAAAAGGCGACAAAGTAAATTTAGTTTCTACAAAGGTTATCTGATACAAGACAACGCGGTAGTTCCTCCGGATAAAGATTTCCGGACAGTCGAGATTCCCAATAAAAATAAAGCTGCTTGACTGACAATTACCATTGTCCGGGGAACTGGTCCTCAGCAACCCATCAGCAACATCGTACAGCTGTAATACTGCTGAGGATATATTCAAAATTGTACAACCGACTTTTAGCAGACATTTTCTTATGCATGTTGAAGGGTTTTGTCGCTTTTATTTAAGCCTACGATGACCATAATCATCCATTAGAGATTTGTTATGCGCCATAAAAACTCCAGGCACTTGGTGTCAGTAGATTTGTTATGCGCTCATGGCGCTCACACAAAATTTAAAAAACACTGCAGTAGAGGTGTTATATTTTCACTGGTATATCAATCCTTATAGAACTTTTGGAAGAGATGAGTCTTTATGCAGCTTTTAAAGATTGTCAATGATGGAGATTTCTTTATTCCCAGGGGAAGATCGTTCCACAGAGTTGGGGCCATGTAAGCAAATGATCTCTGTCCATACTTTTTGAGGCGGGATTTGGGTACTTTAAGAAGTAACTGATCAGCAGATCTTAGTGTCCGAGAAGGTTCATATTTCTCAATCAATTCTGTCAGATAGGCAGGAGCTGTTTGATTGACACATTTATATGTCAATGTGAGAATCTTGTATTGGACTCGAGCTTGGACTGGGAGCCAGTGTAGGGAAGTTAGCACTGGTGTTATATGTGCACACTTCCTCGTTCGGGTCACGATCCGTGCTGCAGTGTTTTGGACCCGTTGGAGTTTCGCAAACTGTTCCTGGGTTAGATTTCCCAACAAGCTATTTGCATAATCAAGTCTTGTCAATACAAGTGTTCTTGCTAGCATATGTGCCATATCAGTAGAAAGAAGATCTCTAATGGAACCAATATTCCTTAGATGAAAATAGCAAGAGTGACAGATTTTAGATATGTGATCATCCATTGATAGACTGTTGTCAAAAACCACACCAAGATTCTTGACACATTCCGAAACTGTAATCTCAGAGTCTCCCACTCGAACGGTCTTCACACCAGTGGCCAACCGTTTAGGCAGAGTTCCTGCAAGAAGAGCCTCTGTTTTGCTGTCATTTAGTTTCAGCTTGTGTATAGTCATCCAGGACTTGATACTATCAGTGCACACTTCCAGTTCAGTCACTGAGTGGCATGCATTTTGGGGTAGAAAACTTTAAGTAACTGTGTATCATCTGCGTACATATGATGATTTACACTTGAGGGTGAAAGAGATTTGCCCAGATCAGAAGTATACAGTGTGAATAGGATGGACCCAAGGACAGATCCTTGAGGAACACCATACTTTAAGATGGCAGTTTCAGAATTTGAGTCACCGATACAAACTGACTGGACTCGACCAGAAAGGTGTGACATAAACCATTTCAGTACAGTTCCATCAATACCTATCGACTCCCTCAGTGTTGCTGATAGTTGTTCATGATCGATGGTATCAAATGCCGCCGAGAGATCTAACAATACCAACAAGCCAACACACCCACCATCCACAGATGTCAACAAATCATTCATAATGCGAAGCAGCGCTGTTTCAGTACTGTGTTCTGGCCTATATGCAGACTGATGCTTATCCAGTAAGCCAAATCTGTCAAGATGTAAGGAGAGTCTACGTTTCACAGCCTTTTCAAGCACTTTTGAAAGGAATGATAGGTTAGACACAGGACGGTAGTTACTGAGGATCGACACGTCTAAGTCCTGTTTCTTTAGAAGAGGTTTGACCACTGCCTATTTGAGATTAACAGGAACTATTCCTGTTGATAGACTCTTATTGACAATCCAAGTCATCAAAAGATGGCATATCCCCCTCAGGCCCCCACTTATTTGCAACAATCATGTGAATGGTACCCCTTCAAGGATCGTAAAGGGTTGTCTGCATCTAGAGATGCGTCAGCTCACTAAAGATCGGAAACGGTGCCGTACCCTAACCCTAACACTAACCCTAAGGATCGTAGACTCCCTCCTTAAGGGAGACAGAGGTATTTTCGCGATTTATAGATCGATACTCTTGATCACTGATTGATTTACAATCAATTATCCACAGATCGGAGCTGATGGCAGCGTTAGACAAACAAAAGATCAAACCATTGAATTTACGAATGGTGTTTATCGCTCAGAGAGTTCTTCACTGAGACAAAGGGCGGTGGGGTAGCCTTGTGGTTAAAACGTTCGATCGTCACGCCGAGGACCGGAGTTCTATTTCCCATATGGGTGCAATGTGTGAAGCCAATTTTTGGTGTCCCCCGGGAATATTGCTCAAAGAGGCGTAAAATTAAATTCACTCACTCACTGAGATATGTAATTATAACTTCGTCTTTCCACGAAAGAGTTGAGTTTACTTATTACATGGACCGTCAAATATTGTTGTACTAAAAAGTAAATCACACAGGTCGTTTAAAGAGAGTTTTTCTTCAGGTGTCTGGGCGGATGTGCAGGTGCCAACCATCAGAGACGTGTGCACCTGTTGCTCATCAAGGGTATCTGTGCCTTAGGTCAGGTAAGTCAGTCACTGTTGACTAAAACTGAACGAAGAGGCTATTCCAGTATGGCTTCCTTTGCACAGTCGGAAGAGGAAATACCCCGAGCTGAAAAATGTGGCGCAAGAAATTGTGTTTAAATCTCTCATTTTTAAAACTTCTTACGCGTGACATTTATCTGCGAATTAACTACACAAAAAGTGTTTGCTCCTCGGCATTGAAACTGGCACCCTCTGTGTGGAAAAAACAGATCTGTTTCCAGAAGACTTTCTTTACATGTAAACATCGGAAACTCTGAACTTCTACACCGCAATTCAAAATTAACAGCTGAATTTCATGATCCATCGATCACCTGATTGTTTATAGTCCGCCGTCGCATGGCAACAGTACGGTATTGCGGCGTTGCGCTGTAAAAACATTTTCGGTCAAATTATGTGAATGGAGGGTGCTCCCAATAGGCTAGATACGGCGTCCCTGATTGTCAGTAATGTATTCATACACTTTGATAAATGTTTGTAAGGAAGTAATGCTGGGAATTATTTTGCCCTGGCGTTTTCTAAATCAAGTATGGACAGCAACCTCAAACAATATGGTCAGATTTCAACCATAGCTTGTTGAAATAGCTTGCCAGTATGTACATATTAAATGTAGTCCTTGGTCTACAGGGTTCAGAGAGGACACAACTACAGGGGGTGGAAGAGAGGAAGATGAGACACCTGCTACCCCAGTACCGACCACAGCCAGAGAAGAGGGTAGGACAGCAGGTAAGATGATGAAGAACCTAATAAAGATACATAAATCCAATCAGCAAGTATTGATGGCATCCAGCATATTGAGCACCTTGTCTTGAAAGTGGATCCACATCTACTCAAGCTTCACAAACGCAATATGGTTTTCATGCTGCAGTGCATGAACTAATATAAACCTAGATATATTTGACTCTAGTTAAATAATGTGACTAGCACGCAAGAAATACCTCCTTTATCGAGCTCACGCGGACTATGTGTCAATTTGAGCGTGACAGTTGTGCCTTGTCGCTCGCCTGACAGTCATGCCTGTAGGTTTCCAGCTAACTGAAGCAGGGGGGAGAATTTGAAACAGACGTCATCTGCGGCTACAAATGAGACTAGGGTTTACACTATTCGGTATCAACCAGTTACCTTAAAGACTTGTTTAGAATGGGTCGTTTTATCACTACGTTACTCATCACCATCATTAGTCTCTACTACGTTACTTCATCATAACATCGTCAGTACGTCATAGGTTTGTATACCACGTTACTCCATCACAACATCGTCAGTAAGTCATAGGCTTGTAAACTACGTTACTTCATCATAACATCGTCTGTACGTCATAGGCTTGTAAACTACGTTATTCCATCACAACAACGTCTACGTTACTCCATCACTACATCGTCTGTAAGTCATAGGCTTGTAAACTACGTTAACCATCACTACATCGTTCTACGTTACTTCATCATAACATCGTCTGTACGTCATAGGCTTGTTCGTCATTGGCTTGTAAAACTACGTTACATCGTCATCATCGGCTTGTAAACCATGTTACTCCATCACCACATCACATCGTCAGTACGTCATAGGCTTGTAAACTACGTTACTTCATCACACATCATCGTCATAGGGTTTGTACGTCATAGGCTTGTAAACTACGTTACTCCATCACCAACATCGTCAGTACGTCATAGGCTTGTAAACTACGTTACTCCATCACAACATCGTCAGTACGTCATAGGCTTGTAAACTACGTTACTTCATCATAACATCGTCTGTACGTCATAGGCTTGTAAACTACGTTACTCAATCACCACATCGTCAGTACGTCATAGGCTTGTAAACTACGTTACTCCATCACAACATCGTCTGTACGTCATAGGCTTGTAAACTACGTTACTCCATCACCACATCGTCAGTACGTCATAGGCTTGTAAACTACGTTACTCCATCACTACATCGTCAGTACATCATAGGTTTGTATACTACGTTCCTCCATCACCACATCGTCAGTACGTCATAGGTTTGTAAACTACGTTACTCCATCACCACATTGTCAGTACGTCATAGGTTGGTATACTACGTTCCTCCATCACCACATTGTCTGTACATCATAGGTTTGTATACTACGTTCCTCCATCACCACATCGTCAGTACGTCATAGGTTTGTATACTACGTTCCTCCATCACCACATTGTCAGTACGTCATAGGTTTGTATACTACGTTACTCCATCACCACATTGTCAGTACGTCATAGGTTTGTATACTACGTTACTCCATCACCACATCGTCAGTACGTCATAGGTTTGTATACTACGTTCCTCCATCACCACATCGTCAGTACGTCATAGGTTTGTATACTACGTTCCTCCATCACCACATCGTCAGTACGTCATAGGTTTGTATACTACGTTCCTCCATCACCACATCGTCAGTACGTCATAGGTTTGTATACTACGTTCCTCCATCACCACATCGTCAGTACGTCATAGGTTTGTATACTACGTTACTCCATCATCACATCGTCAGTACGTCATAGGTTTGTATACCACGTTCCTCCATCACCACATCGTCAGTACTTCATAGGTTTGTATACTACGTTCCTCCATCACCACATCGTCAGTACGTCATAGGTTTGTATACTACGTTCCTCCATCATCACATCGTCAGGACGTCATAGGTTTGTATACCATGTTCCTCCATCACCACATTGTCAGTACTTCATAGGTTTGTATACTACGTTCCTCCATCATCACATCGTCAGGACGTCATAGGTTTGTATACTACGTTCCTCCATCACCACATCGTCTGTACGTCACAGGTTTGTATACTACGTTCCTGCATCACTACATCGTCAGTACGTCATAGGTTGGTATACTACGTTCCTCCATCACCACATCGTCAGTACGTCATAGGTTTGTATACTACGTTCCTCCATCACCACATTGTCTGTACGTCATAGGTTTGTATACTACGTTCCTCCATCACTACATCGTCAGTACGTCATAGGTTTGTATACTACGTTCCTCCATCACCACATTGTCTGTACGTCACTGGTTTGTATACTACGTTCCTCCATCACTACATCGTCAGTACGTCATAGGTTTGTATACTACGTTCCTCCATCACTACATCGTCTGTACGTCATAGGTCTGTATACTACGTTCCTGCATACTACGTTCCTCCATTTTGTATACTACGTTCCTCCATCACCACATTGTCAGTACGTCATAGGTTTGTATACTACGTTCCTCCATCACTACATCGTCTGTACGTCATAGGTTTGAATACTACGTTCCTCCATCACTACATCGTCAGTACGTCATAGGTTTGTATACTACGTTCCTCCATCACCACATTGTCTGTACGTCATAGGTTTGTATACTACGTTCCTCCATCACCACATTGTCAGTACGTCATAGGTTTGTATACTACGTTCCTCCATCACCACATTGTCTGTACGTCATAGGTTTGTATACTACGTTCCTCCATTACTACATCGTCAGTACGTCATAGGTTTGTATACCACGTTCCTCCATTACTACATCGTCAGTACGTCATAGGTTTGAATACTACGTTCCTGCATCACTACATCGTCAGTACGTCATAGGTTTGTATACTACGTTCCTCCATCACCACATTGTCTGTACATCATAGGTTTGTATACTACGTTCCTCCATCACCACATCGTCAGTACGTCATAGGTTTGTATACTACGTTCCTCCATCACCACATTGTCAGTACGTCATAGGTTTGTATACTACGTTCCTGCATCACCACATTGTCTGTACATCTCCATCCATCCATTCCATCCATCCATCCATCCTTCCATCCCTCCATCCTCCATTCCATCCATCCATTCCATTCCATTTCCATCCATTCCCATCCATTCCATTCCTTCCTCCATTCCATTCCTCCATCCATTCCATTCCATTCCATCCTCCTTTCCTCCATTCCATTCCATTCCATTCCATCCATTCCATTCCATTCCATTCCATTCCTCCATTCCATCCATTCCATCCATTTCCATGTTCCATTCCATCCTTCCATTCCATTTCCATTCCATTCCATTCTTCCATTCCATCCATCTCCTCCATTCCATCCATTCTTCTCATGTTCCATCCATTCCTTCCATTTCCATTTGTTCCATTTCCATTTCCATTCCCTTCCATCCATTCCTTCCATTCCTTCCATTCCTTTCCATCCTTCCATTCCACCTGTTCCTCCATTCCATTCCTTCCTTTCCATCCATCCCTTCCATTCCATTCCTCCTATTTCCTCCATTGTCTTCATCCTCCTGTTTCCATTCCATGTTCCATTCCATTCATTGTCCGTATTCCAGTGTGTCCTCCATTCCTCCATTTCCATTCCGTTCCTTGTCCATGTCGTTCCTCCATCTCCATTCCTTCCTTTCCGTTCCACTCCATTCCTTCCTCCATCCTCTGTTCATTCGTTCCTCCATCCATTCCGTTCCTCCATTCCTCCATCCAATGTCCTGTGTCCATCGTTCCTGTCTGTCCGTTTCCACATGTCCGTTCCTCCATTGTCTGTACGTCATGGGTCCGTGTCCACTACCGTCCGTTCCATGGGTCCGGTGTATGTCGTTTCCATCACCACCGTCAGTACGTCATGGTTTGTCCGTTCCTCCATCCACCACATCGTCAGTACGTCCTGGGGTTTCCATCCATTGTTCGGTTGTCATGGGTTTGTATCCGTTCCTCCATCCATCGGTACGTCCTCTGGGTTGTATACCGTTCCTCCATCCACCACATTGTCTGTACGTCATGGGGTTCCGTTCCATCCATTCCATGTCGTCTGGTTCGTCCTCCATCCGTTCCATCCATTCCATTGTCCTTGTCCTCCATTCCATTCCGTCCATTCCATTCGGGTTGTCCTGGGTTCGTTCCATTCCATTCCATCGTCCCGTCCGTTCTCCATCCATTTCCGTTCCTCCGTTCCTCCGTTCCTCCATCCGTTATCCATAGGGTTCCATTCCATCCATCCATCCTTGTCCATTCCTCCATCCATTTCCATTCGTTCCATTTCCTCCATCCTTCCGTCCGGTTTGTATCTACGTTCCTCCATCCATCGTCCATTGTCCATCCGTTCCTTCCATTGTCCGTTTCCATTTCCTTCCATCATTCCTCCATCCATTGTCTTGTCCTGGTTTGTATACTTCCATTGTCCATCCATTGTCCATCCGTTCCTGCATCCCTCCATCCATCCATAGGTTTCCATCCGTTCCTCCATCCATTCCGTACATTCCTCCATTTCTGTCCTTGGGTTGTGTCCTTTCCTCCATTCCATCAGTACGTCCTTGGTTCCATCCATCCATTCCTCCATTCTGGGATTCCATCCGTCCATTCCTCCATCCTCCATTGTCTGTATCCGTTCCTCCATCCATCGTCCGTTCCTGGGGTTGTCCGTTCCTCCATTGTCATTCCATCCATCCATTATACCATCGTTCCATGTGTCCATCCGTTCTTGTTCGTCCTCCATCACCACATTGTCTGTACGTCATAGGTTTCCATACTCCATTCCTCCATTCCCTTCATTGGTCTGTATACCGTTCCTCCACATCCAGTACGTCATAGGTTTGTATACTACGTTCCTCCATTACACCGTCCGTTCCATTGTCCTGTCCGTTCCTCCTTGTCCAGTACGTCCGTTCCTCTACGTCATAGGTTTGTATACTACGTTCCTCCATCACTACATCGTCAGTACGTCATAGGTTTGTATACTACGTTCCTGCATCACTACATCGTCACGTTCCTCCATCACCACATTGTCAGTACTTCATAGGTTTGTATACTACGTTCCTCCATCACCACATTGTCT